CCAGGTCCAGCTCCACCCCACGGCCACGCAGGACGCTCAGGCTGGACTCGGCCACCTTGTGACAGTGTTTCACCCTCAGCGAGCGCAGCTTGGAGCAGTACTCGGCCAGGACCCTGCCAAGAGAGAGCACAGGCTGGAGGCCACAGCGCCTGCTCCCCGCACCGCCCTGGGTGAGTGACACACACAGTACCCGTCCCCTGGGACGCGGCCTGGCCGGGCATGGAGCACAGGAGAGGCTAGTCTGGTGAGTGCCCAATCCCGATCCCTCCCCATGGCATCCCAGAGATCTTACTGCAGCTGTCTAGTGTCTCCACAGTCAGCCAGGGCTTGCCCCTCAGCCCAGAGCCCCCGCAGGAGCAAGCAAGGAAGAGACCCTGCCTCCCTCCCATCTCCCCAGCCCCCACCGCTACGGAACCCTGGTACCTAATGGCCTCGTTCTTGACCCGCAGACACCCGGTGAGGTCCAGGTGCTCCAGCTCAGGGCAGCACTTGGCAATCTCCTCCACAGCCGTGTCGCCCACGTTGGCATTGACGGCCAGCGAGAGGGACGTCAGCCGGCTGCACTTCTGCGCCAGGTAGCAGATGGCGTCGTCCTTCAGCTGGCGACAGGCCGTCAGGTCCAGGGACTCCAGCGCCTTGCAGTGGTCAGCCAGGCTGCGCAGAGAGAGGCTGTGCACCCACTCGCAGTGAGCCAGAGAGATGCCCCCCGCCGCCTCCCGGCTCAGCTGCAGGCAGCTGCTCAGCGAGATCTCCTGCAGGTGGTGGTTCTGGCCAATCACAGGCAGCAGCTCCTTGTCAGTCAGCCAATCAGAGCAGTTCTGGAGTGCCAGCTGCTGCAGGACTTCGTTGTCTTTCAGGAGGTTACAGAAAGCAGTTCTGGGGATGTGGGGGCCGGCCTGCATTGGGGAACAGACAGTGAGAGCTCCAGGCCCTCAGTGCCCCCCAGCCCCTGGTTCTGAGATCCTCTTCCTTGCACCAGAGACATTAAAGAGTCAAGAGCCAGAGGAGGGGTGGTGGGTCACCAAATTCACCCCCCTACCAGGGCTGAGGCATTTCCTGCAGCTTCGTCTCCACTTCCCTGGCCCAAGTGATACAGCTGCCACAGCTTCCCTTAAGAGACCTTTCCAGAGGGTGGGAATTCACAGAATCATAGAACCACAGAGCTGGAAGAGACCTCAGGAGTCATCAAGTCCAGCCCCCTGCTCTACGCAGGACCAATCCCAACTAAAGAATTCCCGCTCTTCAACCCAAGGTCACCCCTCTTGATGGCCTTGCCTTGCCTTGCTTCTGTTTCTACACCCTGGCCTCTCTACTCCAGGCAGTTCCAAGTCGCTGGGTCCAGGCTAGAGCAAGCAACACCCGGCTTGCTCATTTTCCCAGCCAGTCCCACCTTTGTGCAATCTCTCCGAGGCTGTGCAAGTCGCCACGGGCACACGCTTCTGAGTAACAGCGGCTCAAGCGAGTTTAGCCACAGGAATCCACTCGAGCCACTGCGTGTTCAGCATGTGCTGAAATATCCCCACCGGCTTTACTTTACTTGGAACTGGTTTAAGGTGCACCTCTTCTGAGTTCTGCGCAGGTCTGCGGGCAGAGCAGCTCTCCACTTAGGCCCAACCTGCAGTCGCCTGCATCTTATTCATCCGGAGGAGCCATCCCTACAGCACCTCCACAGTAGGGCTGGAAGAATTCTTAGCTTGGTGGGTTCCAGTCCCTAAGCCTAGATGTGCCTGCGCACATTGTATTCCTCCCCCCGCGCTCCCTCCTCAAGGAGCCAGACCCATCTGGACACACCACGTTCCACACACAGCTGTACTCCCACCCAGCTCCACCCCAGCAAAACAGGGTCCTTTCTGTCCCAGCACAGGGCTCTGCTCTCCCCTGCTGGCGCTTGGCTGGGGCCACAGGAAGGGCTTCTGCTTTCATCAGCCCTGGCGCCTAATGGCCTGTTATTAACAAATAAATCTGCTCCCTGCTGAAACCTGAATTACTCCTCTGTGATGTCAGCTCCCACAAGCATGGGGGAGGTGCGCTCACCAGAGCAAATACTCCGTGTGCATTGCCCCCCACACCCCGACTTGCCCACTGTGAGCGCTGCCCGTCTCCCCAGCGGTGCAGCCCCGCCCGTACCTGGCTGGAGTCGAAGCAGCGCATGTTGGCCAGGTGCAGCTGGACGAGGGCCCGGAATGGCTTGCTGACCCTCTGCAGCCGCAGGAGCTGTCGCAGCGGCAGGTGGCAGAGGACGTGAGGCACCAGGACATCTTCCCAGGGCAGGTCCAGGAGATGGCCCCTGCAGGAGAAGCCAAAGTAGGTTAAACCCAGGTGAGCCGGCCCCGCTGCGGGGCGCTGCTCCCCCTCCCCTCCACCCGGCCCCACTGGAGGGCGCTGCTCCCCCTCCCTCCACCCGGCCCCGCTGGGGGGGGGCGCTGCTCCCCTTCCCCTCCACCCGGCCCCGCTGGGGGGGGGCGCTGCTCCCCTTCCCCTCCACCCGGCCCCGCTGGGGGGGGGCGCTGCTCCCCTTCCCCTCCACCCGGCCCCGCTGGGGGGGGGCGCTGCTCCCCTTCCCCTCCACCCGGCCCCGCTGGGGGGGGGCGCTGCTCCCCTTCCCCTCCACCCGGCCCCGCTGGGGGGGGGCGCTGCTCCCCTTCCCCTCCACCCGGCCCCGCTGGGGGGGGGCGCTGCTCCCCTTCCCCTCCACCCGGCCCCGCTGGGGGGGGGCGCTGCTCCCCTTCCCCTCCACCCGGCCCCGCTGGGGGGGGGCGCTGCTCCCCTTCCCCTCCACCCGGCCCCGCTGGGGGGGGGCGCTGCTCCCCTTCCCCTCCACCCGGCCCCGCTGGGGGGGGGCGCTGCTCCCCTTCCCCTCCACCCGGCCCCGCTGGGGGGGGGCGCTGCTCCCCTTCCCCTCCACCCGGCCCCGCTGGGGGGGGGCGCTGCTCCCCTTCCCCTCCACCCGGCCCCGCTGGGGGGGGGCGCTGCTCCCCTTCCCCTCCACCCGGCCCCGCTGGGGGGGGGCGCTGCTCCCCTTCCCCTCCACCCGGCCCCGCTGGGGGGGGGCGCTGCTCCCCTTCCCCTCCACCCGGCCCCGCTGGGGGGGGGCGCTGCTCCCCTTCCCCTCCACCCGGCCCCGCTGGGGGGGGGCGCTGCTCCCCTTCCCCTCCACCCGGCCCCGCTGGGGGGGGGCGCTGCTCCCCTTCCCCTCCACCCGGCCCCGCTGGGGGGGGGCGCTGCTCCCCTTCCCCTCCGCCCGGCCCCGCTGGGGGGCGCTGCTCCCCTTCCCCTCCGCCGGCCCCGCTGGGGGGGGGCGCTGCTCCCCTTCCCCTCCCCCCCGCCCCCCTCGGGGGGGCTGCTCCCC